CAGGAACAAATATATATACCTATGCAAATTTACAATATATATACCACATAGTCTGTGCTTAAGAACAAATAAATATGGAAATGTCTTTGAGCTTTTACAAAACCAGAATATTATCACAAACATAAATTTAAATAAATGTGGCTTATGTGACAACTAAATATAGTATACATACATACGAAGTTCAGTAAACATAAAAAAATAATGAATATCAACAAGGACTTACAAGGAATTTTTCTTTAAACAAGTCAAACTCGGCAAAAACACGTGTCGAGAATTCGAAGAAGGCTTGTTTCAATTTGTCGAGTTCAGCAGTTATTGAGTCGAGACGGTTTATAACGTCAACGTCATTGGCATGATTGGTATTCTGTGTTGTGGGACTTGAAGGGGTTTCATTTCGAATGAACTCGTTTTTTTTCTTGAAGAATGAGTCCACGGAAAGAGCCTGTTTCTCCGCCTCAGTGGGAACAATGTTGTTGAACTGTGCAAAAAAAAAAATTGCGGTTATAAGTACCCCGAACTTCCCTACTTGATTACAAAAATACGATTTAAAAAGTAATCGATACCGAAATATAAAAATAAGATAATATAAGATATTACCTTGGAGTGTTTTAGATTTAAGAAGGTCCTTTCCATAAAAATACGGCTATAAGTACCCCGAACTTCCCACTTGTTCAACCTTGGAATATCATTTCCACCAACGTACGTGCATACCACACCTTCCGCGGTGTCGCACACCTCATAGAACCATGCCTGGAGAGCCAATATAAGACCATAACACCTATACAGGTTAGATCTATCGGTCTTGAATATGTGCATTTGCTCTCTTGTCTGAATTGATTTCTTCAGATACAAAAGAGTAAAATCAAACACTTCTCTTCCCCAGGCGAGATCATCGCACTCCGCACTATCAATTAGGTCCACATAACATCGTTCTATGCGAAGAATCTCTTGAGAGCCCATCAGGAAATTCGCCAGTAGATGTAATTTGGCCAATTTCACTGCATCTTCATCACACGACCATGATTTCTTGATAAACTGCCACCTGATGTGGTTCCGGCGTAATTCGATGCCATCAAAATACTTGTCATGGAAACCACCGGATATCTTGGGAATATTCAATTTTTTTATCGAGCCAATGCAGTTCAATCCTGTTATAATAGCAAACTCCTCAATCCCAAACCGGAGTAACTTCCCTCCAAAATGAAACCAGATTTCGTCGCTCCTATTCTGGTGAACCTCACGTAGGAGTATACTGTTAATGAGCTGGTTCTGTACGATGCAATGAGGGAGATCCAAGAACTTCCCAAATGCTGAACGCCTAAAAAGTTCCAATTGCTCGGTCGTAAGCGTCTTCTTGATATCAAATATCGTGGATCCATCTCTGGTATTGTCATTGCTGTTTTGAACTTTCACATTAATATCCAACGGATGCGGAATGAGCACTTCCCATTCCTATAAAAAATACACAAGGAAAAAATATATATATTATAAGGAACAATATTAGCAACAAAAACATGTCCTGTTCAATAAAAGGTGAAACAAAACCTTGCATATCTTGAAAGGTGTACTACAAAATATACTGAAAAAAACATCTAGTATATCACATGTAATGTAGATTTTGGCTTTTCTAATCTATCATATTATTTCTCAATTATATCAACCAAATTTGTTGTTCTCTTATAAGAAAATAGATCCATTACTACTGCTCAAATGATACTAAAAACATATCACGCATATACTTGAAAAATACTAGCAATATACTAAATGTAGTTGATTCATTGACCGTATATCTAATATAATGACCACAACCGAATATAATCCAAACCAAAAAAACCGTGTCAGTTAGCATACCAGTTGACAGTAAAAATCAGATAAAAATTATTGAAGTCAAATCCAGCCACTGTGTGATTGTAAAGCATAAAGCAACTTAAAAAAATATGATGCTCAAGTCAAATAGAGTGGTGTGGACCATTAACATTTGACTATATACATAAGAAATAATCTGCCAAAGACAAAATCTACCTGTAACACTCAACAAAAAATCCAGCCGTTGTGTGTGGACCACAAACAATAAAAATGAAACTGAATAAATTGAACAACCGATAACAAAAATTCTTAAATTCATCATATAAATTACCTTATACAAAATCCTTTTTTGAACATGTCGAGGGGCCCTGTGGATGTCGGTGTTATGCATTCCTCTCTTCTTCGATAATTTCTCTTCTTTTTTTCCTTTTCTGGGCCGTTTCTTTATTTTTTCCTTCAACGTTTCAAGCGGGGAATCTTCTTCGGCCAAATCTTCTTCACTCCCATTTTCTTCAGTTTGACTGTCATACTCGGAATGAGGGTCTTCTTCGCCCAAAAATATTTCGGTGGGTTTAGTCTTCTTCGATTTACGGGTTCGGCGATTATTTTTCGGCGGATTTGGGTCTGACTGGAAGTCGTCTGAGCCGGGAGATGAAGTAGATTTTTGCATTCTACTCTTGCCGGAAGACTTGCGACTAGGATTAGGGTTTATATCTCTTTCGAAAATTAGTTTTTTTTGAACAAGTTTTGGTTGATTTTTTTGGTGGATTTTACGGAGACGATCACTCGATCTTAGATGAGGTGGGTCGTCGGCATCATCTGTCGGAATTTTTCGATGAGGCCGAGGGATTTTAGTTTTGGCCATTGAAGGAGATTGTGAAAAGAAAAAGGTAGGAGACGTTGCAGAGTGAAGGAGATTGGGAAAAGCAAAAAGGTAGGAGACGTGCTTGATTATTTGTTCCCCATTTTTTGGTAAGTATATCTTTAATTCCCCTAAAATCTCTCATTAGCATTTAAAAAATTTGATAACGGTTCTTGTAATCTTTTAGGTACAATTGAAATATTTGTTTGTCATTTAGGTAATTTTATAAATAAAAATATAAGGGGTTCAAAAGTGATATTAAAATGAGATATATTAGTGGGGGGTGTAATTTCCTCTAAAAATAGAGTGTTTGAGTAAATCCTGTGAGTGTGGAAAAAATACACCGGGTCGGGTATCATCTTTATTACTCCTTGTTTGTAATATTTGAATAGGAGTAGGGTTTCACTGGGTCACTATATTTTACATTTCTAGTGTAAGGGAGTGTGAAAAGATATTGTAATTATCTTGAAAATATAGTGGAATTGTTCGGAGTTTGTCCCGTGGTTTTTTCCTCTACTTTGGAGGTTTTTCCACGTTAAATCTTGGTGTATTATTTCTTGCATATTTTATTTATTTGGGATATTCTTAGTATGCTCTGTGGTTGCAGTTTAATCTGATCTTCTACATCAAAAAAGAATTATTCCTGCTTGATTGGAAGAGATTTTTTTTATTCTTGAGTTGCTGGGATTATTATTTTTATTCACCATTTTACATTGGTGTTTTAATTTATACCTTCCGCATTTGCGCATCTGAGGCTAACACAGAAATTACTCATTATGCTCCAATTTCAACTAGTACAAATGGATGGCATGGAGTCGCCAAAAATGAAAAGTGAGCTCTTACGCCACTCATACATACAACGTAAGCCGCTTAAATATTGACATCCATCAAAAGATTCATAATGACTCTAATAGTAATATCAAATAGTCAGAGAGCTCGAGACTTAATTAACCCGATTCCAGCGCTGCTTGATTATCAAAATTAACAAACTGAATCCGAGCCTTGATAAGCCAAGCAAAGCAAATAGTTCGAGAAAATTAAGTAAAAACCTCTATCTTTCGAGAGTAAAGAGCATTATCAAGCCAACTAAATAAGCTGTTAAACGATGTTGAGCATTAATGAGCTGAGCTGAGCTCATATTAGCAGAAATAGACCTAAACTAGGACGAAACTATCAATTACTAAAATTAGTTACAAAATTTTATTATTTATTTCTGCAGATTATTTATTTAGCCAGTGTGACAGCAAAAACAATTTTAGCAGCACAGATCATTAGAAAAGAAAATGAGCACTGCTGTACCTACGCTGGGGTATAAATTACCAGCACATTCGGCCTCAACTTCACATATACTTATTGCCCAAAGTTTTCCAGAAGACACCAACTGAATAACACAAACTATTTAATATTTCCACAAAGGTAGCAACCTAAAGATTAGCAGTATTATAAAATATTGTACTTAAACATTATTATGTTATCTGTATTTATGTAATTATTTCAAATATGGCATTTTCATCCTGAAAACGTGCATACTATAATATAACTTTAGATATTCAAAAGGCACCATAAAAATTAAAGAATGAACTTATAAATCAAATTTAACTGCTCACAAGGTATGAAACGAACATGAAACAAATCACAATCCAATAATCCATCCACAGATTCTCACGACCAAATTAGTCAAACATTATGATAAAATAGATAAAACTGTACCCTTATTTAACGAGTTACAGCCTGTGAATAGTGTAGCTATTTTATCCAGGTAAAACATGAATACCCAATGTTTCGATGTCTATACAAAGGAGAGAAAAAGGTCAACTATTTTGTGAGGGTTGGTCAAAAGTTTAAGCCATGGAACCTAGTATTTTTGCACACCACGAACTAAAAAGCATATTAGCTTATTAGACACTTTCATAGCCCATTTGAGAAACCACCTTTACACCTTCTATAACAAATAGGAAAAAGCCAAGGGATGTCCATGCCTATTTGCCACCCATAATAACTCGTAATCAATGTTAATACCGAATGAGTCTATCTTTGTTAAACAGAACTGGCCGAAACTATTGAAACCCACAAAAGTTTTTGGTTAAGTTAGTTCAGCTCTTGATGAGCCTTGATAAGACCATATAATGAGGATCTTGTATCGCGTGATTCATGATAACCTTTTCAGCACCACAGGTGATCCAACGGTCCACATGACACAATACTCTGAGATATCGTTTTGGATGTACTTATAACATCTGTTCCAACTCACTTCTCCAATTCATTCACCAAAACCCAAGTTTCTCTAAATTAAATTGCAATATAAAGAATCCAAATACAAAAGACACCATGAGTTGGCAATTTGGTTTTCAAACTACCCGCTCAAATTCCAAATTATTTCGAAGTTCAGAGCAACCACAAGTTGTGGTTTTTGGAATTTGGATCGTTTTGCACCTAGGGTTATATTTCTCATCACTGTCACATTTGCAAGAGAACTAAGGCCAGTAAGTTTTCCTTAGCCAGGGAACCGTGAATCCAAATACAATGACAAAGTTTAATCTGTGTCATCTAGTAACTCCATTGAATTTCTGCAGTGAAGTGCCATAAATGCATATTGCTTCTCCATATGAAGTAAGACGAGTAAGTGATGAGAAAATGAGAATCCGATGAATAAGGAACCATAACTTTAATCAAATTCCATTTACTAATAACCATGCATGGAAAAATCATTTAAATTGCCTCTTGTCCCTCACTTAATTTTAAGACAAATTAGAATGTTCATTTAGAAAGCCAATATATGATAAGGAAAAGCGTACAAGCAGCAATCACGGCAGAAAGGATGAGAGTGTCTCTTGATCTTTTTCTTTTAATGGAACCTGTGTCAGATTAAGAAACAAAAGAATAAGCATGGGTTTGCTTTTAAAAAAATCTAGAAGCAAACATTTCTTCCCAGGAATTACCAAGTAGGCCACGAATGACAGGAAACTTGTCACCGAGCTGCTTCACTTTTCCTTGAACATCTCCAAACAAGGCCCTTTGGGAGCCCAGGGCTGCTCTAGTTGCTTGAGCTTGACTAATCACATCATCAATCTATGATAGACCAAAAATGCTGATGATTAAACATACACGATAACATAGTAGCTGTAAAATCAAAACAAAGACGACAAGAGCATTGGCTAAACTAAAATGAGGAATTGTTACTATCATGATGGAGCAGATGATCATAAGAGAACAAGTAAATAAGGGCAAAACAAAAGCAGTTATACATAAGTTGTCACTGTTTAAGTTACGGACATCTAGTGACCATTCTATTGACTTCATAAATTAGTAACCAAGGAATTATTCCAATTTTGCTCACATGAACATGAGAAACATCACCAGTTTCTAACAGTGCCTAGGCCCAGTAACTCGGTAAGATATTCTTTATAATACAACAATTTTAACGACTGTCAACTCATTTCTTGGCGGAGAGTCATTCAGAGTTTAAGGTACGTAACTTTCTTTACTTAAAGAAAAAGAAGAAAAGAAGGGTATCAAACCCTCATACAGCATTTTTTTTTTTTTTTTTGTGTGTGCAAGTAATCAGAAGCTTTTAAATCTTACATGAGATATGCTTCCATGTATTGCAGCTCTCTCCCTTAGTACTTGCACTCGAGGAGAGACGCTTCCAGAGGCCTGCAAAAGTTAAAACTTTCAGCCGAAGGCACCAGGAGGCAGGAACTTGTTTATATTCATAGTTAATAGTTTTATTAAATTCTCACCTTGTACTCACTTATATCATCTCTTACGGAACTCAGGAGTTCTGCATGTTCCCTCATCGAGTTTATATTTCCCTTGATACGCTTGAATTCCTACAGAAATACCAAATGACAATTCAACCAGGATCAACATAACTGGTCAAGTGATTCACCCCAAGTTAATTGTTCACAACATGACACATACAGATTTTTCCAATCAAGTGCAGACCATTACTTTACGAATTGAAAGTCGATCTGTAACGGGGAAGTACAGTAACTCTTGCATCCTCAAGACTAGCCAGTCATGAGTTCAGGATTTCGAAAATGAAAAGAAGTTGGGCAAAGTGTGTTCCAAGTATTGTTTAATGCTCAGAGAAAGTTAGGAGAGTAACAACTAATTAAAAATAGGAAACAAAACAAAAAGGAACTAGCAGCCCAGCTAAACTTGAACCTCTTGGACAAAAATAACCAGATACGTATCTTCCAGTTGAGAGTAAGCACGATGATGGAAATAATTATTTATTAATTGATGTCACAGAAAATAGAATAACATGATGGTCTCATGATGTTCAGAGAAGGGGTAACCGGCATAACAAGTGTTCCAACATTGTTTGAGTGGAAAGGAAAATATTTATTCAATCATCTAGTTACTGATAAATAACAAAGAGTATCATAGACTACTGAGAAGGGGTTAGATCAACATGATATTAAGTAACCTGGGTAAACTCATGCAGTATGTCCCGGTGTCTCGCAAGCTTTTGAGTAACTGAAGTAGTTGCTGAAGCAGATGCAGCACATCGACTCATTGAATCATTTACATCGAGTAACTTCTCAAGCAATGATTCAATCTCCATTTCCATAGACTTCCATGACCTGCTCGACCCGAAAGTCGGTGAACTAGCATCCACATGACCTAGAAATCCATAAACCATTACAAAAAGTTAAAAGAAAGAAAGAAAAAGGAAAAAGCTTTCCAGCTAATTAGTCCTTCTAATATTAAGTTCCATCCCCTATTCAATTAATAAGAGGACCAACCAAATGGAATCACAAAATACAATAATCATTAACATAAAGGTTATATTTGGAATATACTAATTTTTGCTGTCCAATAACAATGATTGTGTTTTCTTTTACTGTGTTGAAATGGTTAAAAAAAAAAACTATCTTTGTGGAATAGGAGAAGTGTACCACTTTGCTCACCGAACTGTTCACGGAAGGAGACCGATAAACTGCCCTTTAGAATTTATATTTCTATGCTTACCAAACCTGAACGTCAAACTAGATTCCAGCGTAATAGCATGAGGAGAAAATACATTTATATGTAACATATATTATTAGCTGATCCTAGATATTTATTAGCTGATCACAAAAACAAAATTTGCAAAACCAAGCTTATTTATATCAAGATGCTCTTTAGCAAAATTAGTTCCAGTTAAGCATAAATGAATAGGCGATGGCTTAAAATTGTACTAACTGTAACTCATTTCCCTGAGGCAGCTGTAAAGTAAAGAGGTAATTTGCATGATTTTGGGGTTCGAACTCTCTAACCAAATAGACGTACAGGCCTACAGTGAAAATCATCATAGCTCAGTTGTTTTCATAACTAACTGCATCAAGTTTCTAATGCAGAACATTCTAAGTCTTGTTCACTATAAAAGGGGCAATGCAAAAGGCCAGCAAATGTGACGTTTGAGAATAGTATGAGTTAATGAATATATTCTATTACACGACCAGTTAACACTCATTGGTTGAAGTGCCTAATTAATTCACGTATGGGAAATTCTGATTGTACAAAAACTGGTTATCAATGAGTAGAAATTAAGATCATCATGTTCCCTCATCCTACATTGTCGTCTTCTAATCACTCAATCACAGCTTCAGGCACTTACTCAACCCTTAAACCAATTATATCTCAATTCATGTAACAACATTTCAATCGTAGTGCTCTAACACGGAGTATTTACGGATTTTATAATACCAAACCACGATAAACACCAACACACGAAAAAGAAGTAAACTTCAGGAAATCTAGAACCTCACACCCGTGCTCAACCTCAAAAGTCTTAGAATAGCAACTGATTTCCCAAAATGTATGCAGAAAATCACAACTGTGCCGTCTCATCCGCACTCGCTGTTGGCAATGACGAAACTCACAACAGACAACAATTGAAAAACAAGAAAATAAGGAAAAAAAAAACAGAGAAAAATAGCAGATTAAGGGTGGGGCACAGAAACTCCGTACCTCCTTGTGTGAAGCGAGAGCCGAGCTTCGCATAAGAAGACAGCCTAACATCGAGATCGCCCTCGATCTTTCGAGCTTCTTTCCGGAGCTCCTCCCAACCCGACTCCTGCAACGCGTCCATATCCGGATCCCTGTGCACGCGGATCCGACCCGTTCAGCCAAAGGTTTCTTACCAGATTTTGGGAGTGTGGATTGAAAATAGTGACCCGAATCGGATAGTCGTTACCGTTTGGAGGCGGGTCCGACTGTGCGCCAGTAGTGCTAACTGCTTTTGCAGTTGAATCAGAAATGAGGGTTGATTCTATCCTACATGTACTGCTGCCCTCACTTGGGTGTGGGTAGCAATTCTTCTTTTACTATTTACAATAATGTGTAATTTTATCATCCTTATTGTTTATTTTAAGCAACAGTTATTTGTTTTTGTATTTCTATTAATTTATTCATTAATTTTTATTTTTTTTTCATTCTAAAATAATATCCCGTATGATCATATATTTCATTTAATTGTGCTAATAAATTTATCCTTGCTTTAATTATTTTTATTTCTTTTTCTAAATCTCGATAAATTTTTCGTAAATTCATATTATTGTTTTAGGTGGTCCTATTTTCATATGTCTTTATTTTTGTTTAAAACTTTGAATTTTGTAATCTAATTGTTTTAGTTTTTGTTCATCTTTCTCAATATATTTATATTGGATTGTTTTTTCAATTAAATAATCTATAGTTTTTATTTCTTTTATTTTTATTGCATATAATTCCGAATGTTGATCTTTTTGAATTCTTGTTGGACTCATTATCTAGCTCTGATACCAAATTTTGTGGGCTAAAGTCATAGACTTAATTACGTGTTTCATTAGGAGGAATAATCCTATTTTAAAAAAGTTTTGTTCTTTTTAAGATTAAATTCTTCTATTACTTACTAAGAAATTCTTCTGCTAAATTGATACAGATCTTGAAATATCTTATTTCCGCTTCTTGAGCTCCAAAATTTTCAATTTCAAGAGCATATTTCATTCGATTTATATTGGAAGAAAATTGTATACTTTCTTGTTCCGAAAGTCTTTCAGAACTATGTTTTTGTAACAGATTTTCTAAAGTTTTTTGAAGAATAATACTCCAAGGAATTGCAGGCATGATTTTTCTTTGTTTGTAGATTAGGTATTCATAAATTCAGTTAGAAAGTTGGTCGTATTTTTGTCTTTTTTTCTTCTAATTTTGAAATTCTAGATTCTATTTTTGATAATTTTTCTAACACTAATTCTAAACTAGGATTTTCTTTTTGTCTTCTTTCTGCATTTCGTAAACAATCTAATAGTCCTTGAATATTTTCTAAAATCTTTGATTTATATTGACTATAATCATATTCATTAATTTTATTTCTAAACTCTTGTAAATCGACTAACAATGATTTTAATTCTTGTAAACTAGTTTCTCTTTTCGCATGATATTTCTTCTTGTAGGTTTTATAAGGTCCTCTTATATATCCTGGTGTATTGGATGATTCCATTTAAATTCTTTTATTTAGACTTATTACTAAATTACTTAAGTCATTTACTTGTTTGTTTAACACTTTAATTTCATTTTCTTCTTCATGTATATTTTTAATACTGAATGGTTTTTCTATTTCTTTTCTTTCAACCAAATCATTACTATATGAGTGTCTTCCTAATGTCAGCGGTGCTTTACTAATCATTCTCATGTTATGTTGTCTTAAAAAATCTTTTTGAATACTATCATTTTTTATAATTATACTTGTTTCATTAAATATTTTTTCCGTGTATATTTTATCCTGATTTTGATAATGCATACTCAAACTGCTATTACTTAATGCGTATGAAATTCTATAACAAACTACCATAGGTATGTCTCCATTAACGTTTTTTCTTGGAAATTACATATTATTCCTAAACAGTTGTTTATTTTCTTAGTTACTAATGGTATAGGAAATTGTAATGATACATTAAATTTAATTACTTCATATCCCAGATTTCCTTCTATTTCTCCTAATTTTCTTGATTTTTTATGCATGATTCTGTTATCTTCAACTATAATATTTACAGGTGTTTTTATTTCTTCTCTGAATGTTGATTTTAATATGATTTGAATTGTGTTTATATGTATATATCCTATTTTCTTTCTCTCTTCTTCTTTTATTTTTTTCTAATCTTTTTTCTATCTGACTTATTTCTACAAGAGGTGCTTGAAAATTATAGTTAGCTTGCTCTATTTTTATAGGTTGTTCTCCATTCATAATTCCATACACCATTGTATTTCTTCTAATTAATTTATTAACAAGCTATTATTTATTCCTTCTCTTTTATCTATATCTAAATTTCCTTTATTTCTTACTTTCGTTACTAGCTTCTTATCTAATAATATATCTGATAAGTAGGTTCCTTTTTCTTCTATATGTTCTATAGTTTGATACTCGTTTTCCATTTTTATTATCTAATTATGAATAATCTTTTCAAAAGATGTTTTCTAAGTTTTAAATGAAAGCAAGAGTAAATATAGAATGATGATAATATACCGTTGGTTTTCTCCTTATTTCCAACACAACTAGGACTTGATCCTTTTGGCATGCAGCGCCTACGATCCTTCAACCAGCTATTCAGTGTTCCAGGAAATGCTTGTGAATATCTTCAGTATATTATTTCACTCTTTATTTTACTCTTACTTCTAACTTTTTTAGCTGCTCATGAGTATTGAAACACACATATTTTATATCAAGAGTTTATTTCAGAATTGCCGTCCTTACAAAGTAAATGGCCGGTTTTATTTATAGGCAGAGCCTATCATACCATCATCCACACACTAATTTACATTATTGGTCGGGTCACCTTATTAGAGACGTGCACGACTCTCTTCTTATCACTATGCCATCAACAGGCTGGCAACCAAAGGAAAAATGAAAAAGACATTTACCTACTAAAAATACAAATTACAAAAGGTCGTAGGACCCCCTTCTTTATTAGCTTGTCTACATTGTTTTTTCGTAAGTGTCGCATGACGTAAGAGCTTACGTCTACTCGTCCATTATTGTATCATCTTCTTCTTGTACTAGTTGCAGGTCTTCTCCAACTGCTTCTGGGTTACATTCTTCACATACATGGTCTTCACTAAACTCTTTTGCAGCCTTGTACATATTTTTCTTTTTAATTTGTTGGGTACATCGAACTGAATATTAATCAACTCATCTAAATACTTATTTAGTAATTGAGTATCTGTCTCTGTTGGGTTCTTTGCTTGCATGCTCCATATCACAACTGACTTGGAAGTATAATTGATTCTTCCTTTTATTCGGATACCTTTGTTAAGAATCATAACATAGTTATTTAAAAACTGTGTTATCTCATCTTCATGGTGTGCTTGGCCAATATGTGAATAGATGTTATTGCTGACTCCGATTTAACATAATTGTATTGCGGTTTGTATAACATCTCTCCCCTCTGAAAAGATTGGAGTTGTGGCGAAAATCTTGAAAAAACCTTCCATCTTTCCTAAAATCTTTGATGCATACTGACTCACGGTTCTTCGTATATTTGCGGGAAAATATTGAAAGATGTCTGTTCCCCGGAAATATATACAACTGACTAGTCCAGATTGAAACAACATATATGCCTTTAACGGATTTGCTTCAGGGAGTATAATTACTTTTGGTCCTTGATAGATTCCTTCAATTGGATATATAGTTGTTTGCTTGTCTGCTTCTGTATAATTAACTACAAACTTGAATTCTTGATTGAATCTTGCTTGAGTTAATTTTGTTAACTCTTCTTTTTGCTGTTTACTTTGTATATTGCCAATTGTTAATGGCCTTAGTGTAGGAATTGATCCTATCACTTGCATTTGTTTTTGTGGTGCCGTAGCTGGCATTTTTGCTTTTCCTGCATATGTATTTTGAAATTTTTCTAGAGCCTGTTGTGCTTCAAACAGACTAGAAAATTTCTGATGTATAATGTTCTTGTTACCTATGGTGTGAACTGAACTTCACTCCACTGTGTATATATTCCTCTGTTTTCTCCTGTGAAAATCACATAATGCGTTTTATGTTTTTCTTCTTCGTCGAATGCTTTTTCTAATTGCTTCAAAGATCCAATGGATTCTTCTTTCTTTTTATTTTTTGTCTCTGTTGGAAACAGGACATTTCTTATTGCTTTAATTTCACTTTCTACTTGCATGAGCTGTTTTCTTAATTTTTCTGCTTGCTTTTCTAGTTTTTGCATGCTTTCCTTTAGTAATGGTTTAAGTGCTTCCATTCTCTTGTTAATGTATTTGCAAGAAAATTTTCATTACTGGGAATATAAAGCGAAATATAATCATGTTGCTGTGCTTTTAAACTCCATCTTAAAAGTCGTCCTTTGTTATAAGATTCTTTTAACTTATATTTTGTAAAATCTTTTGTATAAAGACTATCGGTTTGAAAAATGAATTTAACTGGTTGTAAATCTAATTTAAATTTTTCCAAAGCATTGATGAAAGCTAATGTTTCCTCATGTGTTGTGTAATTACATTTTGCTGGTTTAAATGTCCCTGATACCCATTTAGATAATAATAAGTTGTTGCCTTCCTTTGTTTTCTTTCGTAAAAATGTTTTTACTTCAGATGGTTTATTGTTTGTGACAAATTGTTTAAATTTTTCGTATGTATCTGGAATTGCTTGAAGGATTTCTCCCCAAGTATCCTGGCTTGCATCAGTATTTAAAATGAGTCAATCATTGGGTTTAGGTAAATAAAGTTGTGGTAAATGAGTACACAATCTTTTTAGAGATTGTACTGCTCTAGTTGCATCATTTGTCCATTTCAATAGTGTTTTTTCAGAAATCATTTTTTGCAATAATTCTCTTTCTTTTGCTAAACTTTTTATAAAACCTTTTTCTCCTATGTAAGTAAGACATCCGAGAAATTTTTGTATTTGATTTATATTTTCAAGCTGGTCTGGAAACTAGTGTATTTTTTCAAGTAAATGTTTTTGTGGCTCTATATAACCTCCTTTAACTATTTTCATTCCTAAAAACTCAGTTTATGTTTTACAAACTTTTGCTTTTTCTTTACTTAAAATAATTCCTTTGTTACCTAATTGTATAAGAACTTTTGCAAGTTCTTTGAAATGTTCTTCTTTTGATCCTTGTGTAAAAACAATTATATCATCTATGTAAGCAACACTTATTGATTTTAATGCTTTAAGATTGTTATCCATAAATCTTTGATAAATACTTGGTGCTTGTTTTAATCCGAAAGGCATAACATTATATTCATAATAATTTTGAGGTGGACAACTAAATGCTGTTAATGGCTTAGTTTCTTTATGTAACCTTAATTGCCAATATCCTAATTTAGCATCTAATGT